AACAGTTGATTCATATATTCGCCCAATGTCTTCCACATATAAATAGGGAAGCGTCTTCCACCTGGGATTTAGAAGCGACTCCTTACTTACTTTCGCTGAGTGGGATTATGAGACCCTTAAACAGAATCGCAGAATAAACAAATGCATCCAGCAGAAGGGCCAAACGGGCTGATTTGCTTACCTAGTTAAGGAAGCTTTACAAACTTCTGGGAAGCACTGAATTACACACCATCACCCTACTCCGATGCCAGCATTCAAGTTGAGAAGATAGATATAAAGCTGTAGTTATGCCAAAGGCAGATGGGAAATTACGCTAGAAAAGTAAGTGTACCGACAGAAGCGATGCTCGTTTCAGTCAGCTTAACCGAGGAATTTCAAGAATTTTTGAACAATTAAACTATTAGATTTGAAGGAGTAATTCCGAAATAATCATTGGGAGAGCATGAAAATGGTCAACCATGAAAGACAACGGTCTTCAATCGTCTTCTACACCCATGGTGCAGCGCGGTATGCGAAAGGTATAGATGATGCCGGTTGGGGGTCGAACTTTCGCCACTGTACGACGTAATCGTAGCTTACGTCGTTCCATCTGTCCGAGGCGAAGAATGAGCGTTCGAGGCAAAGGCAGTCGACCATAACTTCCCCCGGACATAGAGTGAACCTTAACAGCCAAAGTTCTCCTTCTTATAATCAGAATTATGCCCCTCTTTTCTGATTTCATAGCTGTCAAGTGGTTCTTACATTGGATCTGTCATTCCCATACTGTTAAACAATATTTTGTATACTATTAGAAAGGCAAAGAAACCCACCCTTAAGAGAGCTGACTCCGTAAGCGAATGTGCTACGTAGAGGCAGGACTGGTTCTCGATAATGAAGCGAGATTGTTGGGCAGTACTGTAAAGATGAATGACTTGACGACGAATAAACTTCAGAACGTGGTTAGCTTCAAAGTGGAGCATGCTCTACCCTTGAATTCTGTATAAAAGGATAGTGAATAAGCAGCACTGCAACTTGGGCCGCAATCACTGCTGATTGGAGGGCCAAACTTCCGTATGCCTGTGAGGGATCTGCTAAGAACTTCTTCATATAATAAATAGGGTACAGTTCAAGTTCAAAATGGTCCCTGGAATTCCTCCTTTGGATGGACCTGTGACTTCTTTGGCACTAGGTCCAACGTGCATATAAAGGTTATCGATATTATTTGAAGCACGATGATAAGAGTGCAAAGGCAGCATACTAGGATGCAAAATAGGATTGGAACATTAGTAAAGAAAATAAAAAAGAAAAAATTCGATTGAACAACTAGCTGGGATGACGGGCGATCTCTCTTTAGTAAAATTTATCAACAGCTGATTGCCTTTAGTAAACATTGCAAACTCTGGACTGGTCCCTGGTTTGAAAACAAAGAATAGGCGGGTTCAATGCATAATTTATTGTTAGTGACAACAGAAGCTGTAAGCTCTGTATCATTTTGTCGTCAATGTAGAGGTTTTTTGTTTTGTGAATGTAAAGATTAACGACCGACATTCTTCAAGGCTGGCGTGGGCCTAGCGGCTGCGGAACTGGGCTGGAGATGTTTTTAATCAGCTTGACGAGCTACAATGTAGACTTGAGCAAAATTTCAGGTCATAAGCTATAAATCAAACTTTCCGAATTTTCTGCTATGATGGACAAAATTTCAAGAAGGGCTCTGGTTATAATGAAGTTTATAGTAAAGTGATGCGGTAAGGTGGGGAAGAAAATTTCTTCAATGATTAATGAATTTGAGAAGTCTCAAAGAGAAGTTATACTACATTCGAACAGCTTACCTCGACACCATTGGATAAAGAGGTTCTGAGACGTCGATATCACTGAAAGGAGTGCACAAATATTCTCCGTTCCGATAGAAGCTTATTTTCCTGCCTGGACCATCGAAAAGTATACCAACCACGCAGCTGAAAAATGTACTTCAATCATTCGCATGGCTAGGCTTTCTTCTTTTCAATACGCTACATTCAACATTTCTGATCCCAAAAATTAATCTGCCAATCACACACGCTTCAGTTTCGCTACTTTTGAGGAAGGCGAGGCGAGGGAGTTTCTGTAAGAAGGTTTGTCTTGAACGGATAGCCCTTCGTAGATGATAGGTGATAGATGACCAATCCGCCAACATTTTCACCATTTCCGAGCGCAACTTTACCGTCCATCCTGTTCTATTCACTCACCCGCTACAGTACCAGTAAGGCGCNACATTTTCACCATTTCCGAGCGCAACTTTACCGTCCATCCTGTTCTATTCACTCACCCGCTACAGTACCAGTAAGGCGCAAATGCTTTATATAAAAGAGATGATGAGGGTAGCAATGAATCTTGTGACTATTCCTTTTCAGCGCCTCTTAGCAACCCGCTTATGTATAATCTCTTTCTGAGCACTTGCCCCGCGAGTGTCTTATATGAGAAGTGACAGCATCAGTCTTTTCGATCCTTGCCAATCGGCCTTTCACACATCAATTAGGATATTTGAGAGGCAAGAATAAATTGTCAGTACAAAAGGCTGTATATATCCAGTGGTTCCTTTCTTTTAACGCTTCTCTGCAGTCCCTATCAGGTACCTACTTCTCAGCACTTGACGAACCTACATTAGTCTTTTTGATGAGCATTTTTTTACAAAAAAGGGCGGTGGAAACACTGACTGTCGTTGAAGAGCATCGGAATCATGGCTTCTGATGTGACACCTCTTAACAGCTTCTGAAGGCTTTTACTCCTTTCCGTTACTCATCACCCTCGATGCTGTCTCACTCAATAAAGCATGTTCGGGTATCCAGGCTCCCCGATTGATAGGAAACAGCCTGGCCCCAGTATTAATGCGAACACTAGAATGAATCCAATGGCCCTTGCGCAAAAGTGTAAGGACCTTTCAGCAGGATTGGGCACTAGCCCACA